TTTTGTGTGTGTGTGTGTGTTGGGAGGTGTTCGGAGCGTGTGTGTGTGTGTTGGGAGGTGTTCAGGGCGTGTGTGTGTGTGTTAGGAGGTGTTTTGGGTGTGTGCGTGTGTGTGTGTGTGTTGGGAGGTGTTCGGGGCATGCGGCGTGTGGGGCTGAGCCGGCCGGTCGCTCCCCTGCAGCTGTTCCTGGGAAACGCCGATGACTCCACGCCGGTGGTGAGGACTTTCCAGCGCATGGTCCGTGCCCGGCACGTCCGCATCCTCCCCCACGACTTCCACCACGGGATCTTCCTGCGGGCAGAGCTGCTGGGCTGCGAGAGAGGTACCGTGCCCTGGCCCCTCCCGGGGGTAGGGGGGGTCTGGAGAGAGGCAGGGGAAGGTGGGGCGGGGGGCAGGTGCGGTGAGGGCGCCCCATGGGGTTGAGGGCTGGTTTCTCAGGGCGGGCGCATGTCCAGGGACTGACCCGGAATTGCCTCATCCCGCCCCTCCCCCCGCCTGCTTTTCTCTCTTCCCTGCCCCCAGTGCCCCCTGGGGCACCGACTGCACCACCGGGCCCGAGGCCCTGCCGGACCGGGGAGTTCCAGTGCCGCAACGGACGCTGCGTCCCCGCTGGGCCCCGCGGCGCCGTGTGCAACGGACTCGACGATTGCGGAGACTTCTCGGACGAGCTGCGCTGCGGTGAGCGGGGGGGCAGGGCGGGGCCGGGGCCATCCCCGCGGGGCTCAGGGCGGGTCCTGGAGACTTGGCCTGTCCCACGCTGGCTGGGCAGTGGCTGTTGAACAGCTGCCAGGGGCCTCCCCAGAGGGGGCAGCATCTTAGTGCTAGGGGAGCGAGCTTTGCAAACCACCCCCGAGGCAGCTGCAGCTCAGGTCTGGGAGGGTGAGTCCCGTCCTGTCAGCCGCTGCCTCCCAGCCCAGAGGGGGCTGCCTATCCATGGTGGCAGAGCAGTGCCCACAGACCGGGCGCTCGGAGCTGCAGCCACACGCTAGAGAGGGAGGGCCTGGGCTAGGGCGGCCAGACACAGGAAATGTCCCCCCGGGCCTTGGCCTGGAGCCTGGGAAAGGCTGAGCCGGGCTGGCCTGTGCAGCCTCTGCTCCCGTGCCTGCCCGGAGTGCTCCCTCGTCCCAGCACCGTTACCAGCCCCGGCTCTGTGCCCCCCTCGCAGGGACAGCCCCGTCCGTGGGGCCCTCTGCCCCCTGGCGCTGCCCCCTCTCCCACTTCCACTGCGCGCTGTCTGACGGCTGCATCGACGCCTCCCGGCGGTGTGACGGCATCGCCGACTGTCCGGACGGCACCGACGAGGCTGGCTGCGGCGTGTTCCCTGTGGGCACAGCCAGGTACCGCGTGGGGCAGAGGTGGGGGTTGCCTGGACCTCTGTGACGAGGCTGTCGGAGACAGGGACGTGTCGCGAAGACAGCTGGCGGGCGTGCAGCGAGGGGAGCGGGGCAAGTCCAGTCGGCCCATCCTGGGGTCAGCGTGGGAGCGAACCCTGCTGCCTGCCCCAGGCCTGGGCCTGAGCCGTGGGGCCCCAGCCCTGCCGCTGGGAGGAGATTCCCCAGCTGGGTCCATCCCAATACCCCACCCAGGGACCCAGCCCCCGTGGCCCCTGGTGTACCTACCACTCCCCAGGCCCCGCTGGCCAGCAGGGGCATGTTGTCCTGTGCACCCTGGCTCTGCAGGGCTCTCCTGGGGGGCTGGTCTGACGCCCCCTCCTGGGAGCCATGCCCTGACTCTCTGAGTGGGCAGGCCTGGGCCAGGGGGTTCCCCCAGACCGGTGGAGAGGGGCTGCCCCATGCCCCGGGACTGGAGCCCCCAGAGGCAGCTTTCCAGGGGGGGCACCACTAATTCACCCCTTTGCTCTGGTTCTCTCAGCAGCTGGGCCCCCGGGCAGCCCTCGCCACCCACCGAGGAGGTGAGAGAGCCTGCAGCGGGGGAGGGGAGGGGAATCTCCCAGCTGCCCTGTTAGTGTGTTAATGACCTGTCCCCACGCCCCCACCCCAGCCCTGCCTTGCTGGGCTGCCACCAAGGGGGGGCCTCTGTGGGGAGGGGAGGGGATGGCAGCAGGGGTGGGGGA